CGTTTTCACCTTTTCGATAAGTTATGATAAAAAGGGGATCGAAAAATGGAATAATTTCAGATTCACCCTGTATTTTAGGAAGTAAGAGAGCTAGGACATATCTGTATGTAGCATCTTTAGTTTCATAAAAAAGTAACAGCGTAATGTGAAAACCGCATCTTTGTATCTCGACTCATAACCGAGAAACGCTGCAAAACACACGAAAATGGGACACCCTGTACAGACGTACTGCCAAATCAAGAAATCAACTACGAATGAAATCCAAGATCGATTTATATATTTGATATATTTTAATATTTTTTGTGTTCGTGATAATTCCTTTGCTACTTCCTCCAAAAACCGACAGTACGGGGAAGGAGCGTTTCGAGGAAGTAAACGGAGGAAGGAGCGTTTTGACGAAGGAACACACAGTCGCATAAATCGACAATTTCCCATAGTAAATATATGATTTTTCGACGAAGGGACGCGAGGAAAGAACGAAGTGAAGTAGCGAAGTGTGAGTATGGGGCTTTACTGTTTTGCGAAATGTAAAAAAAAAATAATAATCTCCTGCTGATCTGCTGATACTTTTTATGGTCTGTGGCATTCAAGTTATTAGTAATTTTGCATTTTCCTTTATTTTAGGACCATCTGGCATTAGGGCAATGGCTCGTAGAGAAATATTTGACTTGATGAGTGCACAAAATCGCCTCGATATTAAGGAGAAGTTAGAAATTGTCAAAAATCATTTTACAACGTTGGAGCCTTATAGCGACGAACAAATTAAGGAAATAAAGCATAAATTTTCATATGTGAAGTGCGAAATAAAGCGTCACTGGATTGCAGCAAAACAACGACCCGACCTATTAGGGAAAAATAATTAGACATGGCTAAGGGGAGTGTTTGAGCTGCCAAAGTTACAGACAAAGCCAGGACGACCGAAAAAGTTATTTGAAGAGGCTAGCGAACGAACTAAAACACGCAAGACTGAAGAACTTCGATTGTCTGATAGTCTTAGTAAAATTATTTATACATTTATCTCAGTACCTACCAAAATTATATGCTGTAAAGTAATAATATCACACATTTTTTTTAATATACGTAGATTTAACCAAAATATAGTATTTTGAAACGATTTTCAGTGTTAAATAATTTTGGCCAGGTAGATCCAGCAAATACTCCTCTGTGCGACGGAACGAGCGAGATAAACTTTCCGAAATGTTAAGCATTTTTTTGTTCGTTAGCAAATTTGTTTATCTGTAAACCTTAACTTACTAACAAGTAGGTTCCGTTGGATTAATGCAGCAGTGTCTACAAAAAATATCTATTCTATTTTGTAGATTTTCTTGCAGTGGCGAAATACCCATATAAGGTTTTTTTTGAAAGTGAGTAAATTCATACTATAGTAATATTACCGTAACTAAATACACATTTTCGGTTAGCATCGGACATTATTCTTGTACCCCCTCCCCTCGAATACAAAGTGAATTATAAATAAGTGCAAATATTTCTAGGGATGAAATATGTATGTATATCGACAGCCCATTAACATAACAGCCCATTAATTTTTTTTACGCGAAAAAAAAATTATAGAAATAAAAAATATTTCGAAAATTTTTAAATTCTCTGCCGTGGAAATTTTTAGAAAAAAAAAACGGAAAATTTTGACCGTCTTTGTGGGAAATTCTATTTGAGAAAGTTGGCAACATTGGCCGCGACTCAAGTCTTACTTGAGATCGGTTTATAAAACACAGTTTGGTCGGTAAAGCCAAGATTTTGCTACCAGGAGCACGGAAGTATCAAGAGAATAATCTTCGCAATTTAAACGGAGGTAATTTTGGATTAAAAAAGTAATTTTGGTTTATTTTGACATTTTTAAGCTTCATTCAGAACCTCCAAATTCGTGGAATAAATTAGTGGTTTCAATTAGACTTTTTACTTAAGAATTTACGATCAGCCACAGCTCACAGTGTCTAAAAATACAATTAAACTTAAATATGAAATAAATGGCGAATGCGCCAGCTTCATACAGTAAATCTAACAAATAACAAAAGAATATTTGTGCCACACAGTATATAAAATATTAATTTATGTCCCAAGATATTAAAATATTTCAGTTTTAGAAAAAAATCATATAGATATAGAAATATGGCGAATGCGCTAGGAATAAAAACTTATGTGTTTTGGTTTGATATCCATTTTTTTATATATTTTTTTTAGTTCAAAAAATCAGAAAAATATAGTTAATATAAAATAATCAATCAAGCTTAATGAAATTATCAAAACTTATAATTTTTTAAAAAACTTTGTTAGAGTTCCGTGATTATGGCGAATGCGCCAGGACACTTGGCAATTTTAAAGACATTCATGTTTTATTTTTTATTAATTTGATTCTTTATAAAATAAATCTATTAAAAACATAAAATTTTGATCTACTCTGCTAAACTATATTTATACCTATTTTTAGGCTAGACATCTGAACTAAAAATCAATATTTCCTTAATATTTATCAAGCAATAAATTATGATAATTTTACAGACAAGACAGAATCAATATTCATGTCTGTAAATAATTTAATTTTCGGTTTTTGAATTTATTATGTAATAAACGACAATATACAGGGTGGTCAGAACTGTATTCCGGAAACTTCGGCAGCATATTCTGCAGATAAAAATAAGTAAAAAAGTTCATATAAATGTATGTCCTAAAATGCTTAGTTTCAAAGATATAGTGTGTAGAAGTTTCATTTTTATTTCCATTTTTTCTAAATAATTTCTGAAGTAAAGTCAATATTTCGATGAAAATTTCACACCTCTACTTTTCAACCAATAACATGCTTTAATGTTGACTAGTTACCATGGCAACTGAAAAAATTTCCGGAAATTTTTTCGAGGCGCCACGAAACTTTAGTGGAAATTTTTTGACAGTTGAAAAGGTAGGCTGAAGCACTCACTTTTCTTTTTGCTGAATCTCTCTGTAGTATTTTGCGCTTAGCATCGCGTGCAGCTCTGGCGGTCACAAATTCCACATCAGAAAACGGATTAAATTTTATTTTATATTTTTCGTAATAAATTTCTTGCAACTGCTTAGCAGTAGAGTTCCACATCACTTTGACCACACTTTCCTTATAATCTTCAAAATTTTTCTTTTTCATATTAAATGCGTAGTCCTCCAGTATAGTAGCCAGCTGTACTACACTCATACACTCATGAATATTATACGATTTTTCATCACAAAATTCAACAAACTGTTTCCATACACTTGATTTTGATTTTCGGGTGTTATCTGGTTTTATATTTTCAATTTCTTCTTTAATGACTTGTTGGTTTACTTTTCCAAATCGCAACATTTCGCTATACACTTCTTACTCTACGTACAGACGTTTTAAAACTAGTAATAGCTTAATGACAGAATCGCAAACAAAAATGACAAAACACATAATATGTCAAAAACATCAATACCTTGGCCAACTTAACAAATTGAAATTATTTTAAATGTCATGTTGGATTAATATATTTTTTTTCAAATTTAGGTGTGAAATTTTCTTACCGAATACCACGCAAGCTTAAATTATTCCTGGAAATTTTCTTTCGGGCACGAATATTTTAGGAAAATTATCCCTCGTCTTCGACTCGGGATAATTTTCAAAATATTCGTGCCCTCAAAAAAATTTCCGAAAATAATTTAAGCTCTTGTGATATTATAAGTGAAAATTGTCGTCTGTTAGTTTTTTTACATGAGAAATTTGATTTTGATGTTAATATGACTCCTACTAGTAGAGGGCGCCACCTACATGTGTTTTAACTTTTTTAAAGCGTAATAACTTTTTGTCCGTACCTGTATAAAACTACCGGGCGAAAAAATATACATCTCTGTGACTTTTTACGTGAAAAATACCTCTTTGTAAAAATCGCTCCGAGCAACCATTCTTAAGATATTTAGAATGGAAATAGTCAATACATGTCATTATTGACGAAAAATAAACAGAGGTTGAGAGTAGATAGTTATTTCATTGAAATAATAAATTTGGGAAATTTTTATTTTTTTTTAATTAATCATAAATAAAATAGTGTTTGTTGAACTTTTGGAACAAAAACATTTCAAATTTATGATTTCAGTCTAATAACTATTTAATCAACATGTTTAATTTATGTCAGGTGATGATGACAGGTATTGATAATTTCGATTCCAAATATCTCGAAAACCATTACTCGTAGCGATTTTTACCAAGAGACCTTTTTCACGTAAAAAACGTCGTAAATGTATATTTTTTTACTCAGTAGTATTATACAGGTACGGACGAAAAGTTATTACTCTTCAAACCAGATAAAAAATATGTAGGTGGCGTCCTCTACTAGCAGGAGTCATATTGACATCAAAATCAAATTTCTCATGTCAAAAAACTCCCAGACGCCAATTTTCATCCAAATATTGACGTTGCTTCAGAAATTATTTGGAAAAAAATCGAAATAAAAATGAAACTTCTACACCCTGTATCTCCGAAATTAAGCATTTTAGGACATACATTTATACGAACTTTTTTACTTATTTTTATCTGCAGAATATGCTGCCAAAGTTTCCGGAATAGAGTTCGGACCACCCTCTACAAAGGTATTAATTGAAATTTTTAGTATGCGAACAAACAGGAGAGGCGCTTTTTATTTACCAAATACGTTTAAATAAAATATACGACGGCCTCCCCATAAGAGCAATGAGAGGATTTACGTCCCAGTATTGAAGGAGGACAGAAAATAGAGTCGAATGGTTTCAAGACATAGGTTCATCCTTGTTTAGTCAAACCTCCTACAAACCAAGGATAGACTTATGTAGAAAATGCATTGAAATTCTATAGCCATCCTTCAATATCGGGACAGGAATTTAAGCGGTACCCTCCGTATACTTTATTTTAAACGTATTTGTTATTTACTTTCATTTTCTTAACATTACAGATGTTAAGTTTTAAAAGAGGATGTTTTGTGTTTTAATTAAATAAGAAATGAATTGATTGGGACTTGACTCACCCTGGGTCTGTCGTTATGCGTATCAGTCCAGTAGCGGTGGAACTTGACGATGTTCGGATGGTCCAGCTGCGTCAAGTTTTCGAACACGCTCTGTATTTTTTCCTCCTGGTTTTTGAAGTTCTTCCTCTCGGAGAACTGCACCTCGTTCCAGACAACTTCCACACCTTCTTCCATGTCCATGGCCAGGAAGGCGGAGTCGATACCGGGAACATCGCGTTGTTCTACCTGGAACGATAAAAAAACAGATCATTAGATACCCGTTACAAGGTAGAGATGTCGATGAAATTGTTTAACTAATTTTTTGAAAGCAACTAGTGTTTCATTACTGTCGAGAGATTGATATTGTTAATCGAGAGGCGTAGGTAGCGTCGAGATTAACTAAATCTCGGGACAATAATGAAAACTTTCCTCCGAGGTTTGTATACTATTTTATTTACAACCACATCATCAATTAAAAAATAGGGACAGTATTTTATTTTGAAAAAAAAAAATAAGTATGCGAAAATTTGTCGTTTTCTGTTTTGGCATTTCCATATCTATAGTTACCGGTACCAATGGTTGTTAGGGCGCAAACCTTCAACAGCAAAACAAACAACTAAGTGACAGTTTTGAATTCTCGTTCGTTTTTTGGAATTTATATAACATAGAAAGCCAGAATGTTGTCGGAAAGTTCTGATAATGAAGAGTACTTTAATATTGGTACTCCACCAGAAGTTACAGAAGCTGCAAAAAGAGCAGAAGCCAGTTTACTTCCAGAGAAAAGTAGGGGGCGATATGAAATAGCGTTGAAAGTATATCTGTATCTCGAATTTATTAATTTCTCATAGGTGTAAATATTTTCATTTCTCTCTCGAAACTTTTCTCAAACATAAATAATTTGATATTTTACATGTTACTACGGCACCTAGAGGGCGTCTCTCACCTTTCAATCTTAACTTATCGACAGACGGCTTTCTAGTTGAGAGGAAAAACGGCACATAAATCGCGAAAAAGAGAAATTGTAGTGGGCGACAGCCACGCTAGAGGGCAGCAGCAATTTCAACCAATATATACGCTCCGAGCACGATGGAAAGTTGCTATATTATAGACAGAAACTAATAAATCTTGTAGGATACGATTTGTTTATCTTTAACCCTTTATAATTTATAAGGCAGTACTAGTTGACTTCAAAAATATATAAAATATAAATAAAATAAATATATAATTATTATAAACTTTTTTTCCGATTTAGCTGAAATTTTGAATGCGCGTATAAGTAATTTAAAAAAAAAACGAAGAAACCCATTACTAAAAATTGTATTAATCAATAATAAATGGACGGCCGGACGGACGGATAGCGAAGTCTTAGTAATAGGGTTCCCGTTTTTACCCTTTGGGTACGAAACCTTAAAATAGATGTAGGAAAAACAATAAATACTCCTATTACATATTTTAACAATTTTTATTGTGCAAAACTGCCAGAAACCTTCATATCTTTTACTTATTTAAGATCTAGTCGATTTGTTAATTTTAAGGTTGCTTCTCTAGGAGTTCTTGGGAGATGGACTGCCAACTGTCTTTCCATCTTTTTGGAGGCCTTTCCGGCTGTCTCTTACCCACTTCAAGAGCTATGCGTGGTAGCCTGTCTTCTTCAATGCGTTTTACATATGCGAACCATGGTCTTTTTCTTTTCCTACCCTATCTCACTACGTCCTGTATTCCACATTGTTGTCTGATAGTTGTGTTTCTAATTCTGTCTCTTCTGGCACAGAATATCTAGCTACGCAACACAAAATACTCGAAATGAAAGAGCTAAAATTGCACAAATAAAATAGTAGATGGCGCGACAATATCATAATCAGAATATAATTGGAAATTTTCAATTTTCGGTTTTAGATCGACGGTTGTCGACGGCCTTGAAGCTCGGCTACATATGCACAGTTGCTAGATTCAAAAAGACTTTAATTGGCATCCCATTCTTTATCTGGTGTATAATAATTTCTTTCTATTCTTCGTTTCTTGTCAGATACACTTACATTAATTATTCGTTTGGCTTTTAAAATAGTTTTAAGTTTAAGTATATTATTAGAAAACATATGCTCACAAAATACATTTTTAATATATGTAATACACTACTTTATTATGTTAACTAAGAAAATAACTTTAATTACCTTTAAAATTAATAATATACTGGGCGATTGATAGTGATATTTATTAATGCTGAAACGTTAGTAATGAAATATCCGTTTATTAATAATGGAAATAATTTATTAAAATGCAGTATAAAAAAAGTTAATTGACTAAAGAAATTCTATAATAACAAATTTCTTCTGTTGCCAGATTATTTATATAGACCTAGGTAGATTTTAAAAAGTGACACAGGTACAATTAATAATATATTAGTGCGGCATAAAAGTTTCTGTCACGACATCGTACAATAAATTAAAATTCGTAAAATAAATTAAAATTATTAATTAAACAACTCTTTATAAAGAAACGCCAGTATACCAAATGATATCATAATATTGTACTATATTATGGTACCACTCGATATGCTTCATAATATTGCAATATCACCGAAGATCCGTCGTACACCAAATCTAAGCACAATCGAACGCCTGGAAATGGTATCGTAATATGGTAGTATAGGTCGGTACCACTTTATATGCATCATAGTACCATCATATTACAATGTCATCGAAGATACGTAGTATACCAAGTTTAAGCCCAATCGAACGCCAGAAAATGGTATCGTAATATGGTACTACATTATGGTACCTCTTGATATGCTTCATGGTACCATAATTTTGCAATGTCATCAAAAATACGCAAGTATAATCAAATATGAGCCCAATCGAACGTCAGAAAGTGGTATCATAATATGGTACTATAGAAGGTACCACTTTATATGCATTATAGTACCATCATATTACAGTGTCACCGAACCGTATCATACAAAGTTTAAGCCCAATCGAACGCCAGGAAATGGTATCGTAATATGGTACTACATTATGGTATCCCTTGATATGCTTCATGGTACCATAATATTGCAATGTCATAAAAAATACGCAGGTATAATCAAATATGAGCCCAATCGAACGTCAGGAAGTGGTATCATAATATGGTACTATAGAAGGTACCACTTTATATGCATCAAAGTACCATCATATTACAATGTCACCGAACACACGTAGTATACAAAGTTTAAGACCAATCGAACGCCAGGAAATGGTATCGTAATATGGTACTACTATATTATGGTACCTCTTGATGTATTTCATGGTACCATAATATTGCAATGTCATCAAAAATACGCAAGTATAATCAAATATGAGCCCAATCGAACGTCAGAAAGTGGTATCGTAATAAGGTACTATATTAAGGTACCACTTTATATGCATCATAGTACCATCATATTCAGGGGCGCAACTAGACATATACTTTTAGGGGGGCTTAACTCTCTTGGGGGGACTTAGGTCACTATAAGATAATATTGATGTGAGGTTAAGACCAATTTTATAAGATACATAAGGATTATCAGGGGGGGGGGCTAAGCCCCCCCTGCCGCCCCCCCCCGGTTGCGCCTCTGATCATATTACAATGTCACCGATGTCTTTAAAAGCCTGTCTCCTTTTGATACCTACGATTTTATACGTGTAACGAGGCTTCTGTTGCGTAGCTAGATATTCTGTGTGCTTCTGGTCTTCCCCATTATGGTTCTTAGGTTCTTCATTTCAGCGACTCGTAACATGCTTTTGGTCTTGGTTTGTCTCTCGGATTTCTATGCCATATGTCATTATTGGTCTGTGCAGGTCTTATAATTTTTAATTTTGCTGTCTGTTCGCATGAAGAGGTTTATCCACACTATTTGCCTGAGACATCCTGACACGGCCGTTGCTCTGTTTATCTGGCCTCTCAGATCTTTCTCTGGATCATGGTAGTGCGACATATCTATTCCTAGGTATCTGAACTGTGATACTTCCTCAATAATTTTGTTTTCTACTACCAGTTTGCATCTTACCGACTCATTGGAGAAAGTTAAGCATTTAGTTTTTCTTTTTGGATAAAAATCCTTCATATTGGAGAAAATCCTTCAATTCTGGCAATACTGGGTGTAACTGACCCTACTTTGTTTTATTAATTTCGATTTTCTGGTCTTATTTCACGGTCGACGTTGCCATAGCTCTCAATCGGCTTTATCTAGCCTACGAAACGCAACAGAATTAACATAAATAGTGAACAATCCTGCAAGTCTTAGCTCTGAGTCACGGACGGGTTGCACATTTAGAGAGAGAGAATAATTATTATTCGAAACGTTATTTATTTATTTATTTATATCTCCGGCGACAATAGAGTTTAATTTGGATTAATGACGATAATAACAGCAAACGGAAAATCGATTTCTAGATACAAAACCGTGACCAGTTATCGTTTTGTATATTAATCTATACGGGGTGGTTTTGAAAAGTAGCGCACCCCTATAACTTTTATATTTTTTCAGATAAAAAAAACAATTCGATATGTTAGTTTAGTGTACAACATAAATTAGGATTGATTGAAATATTCAATTGTTTTTGGTCACTTCCTGTTTCACCGGAAATGACTACAACTTTTGATTTTTAAATAGCACCCTCAGTATATTTCTACTTTGTTCGATAGAAAATGACACTCTGAATAGAATGACGTATCATATGTCAACTTTTGACATTTTCGCATATGGTTTATTTAAAATTGTAATATGCGGTTCATAACGACAATTTGACTCGAAATACCAAGTGTGTGGTACCAAATTATTCGTAAAAAATGATTTTTCCAAATATGCTAATGAACCACCATTGTTCCATTTGAAAAAAATTGAGATATGATTAAAAATACGATTTGGGCATCTTTCAACTGGCCAGGACAAGACACGAAAAACATTAGACGATCAAATCTATTTTTCCAAAGCTCCTTTATTAAAAATGAGTTGTTTTAATATAGCCATGGCACTCTGGATTGAAATTTAAATACCATTTTTAAGCGCAAATATCAAAAATTAACATTTTCTTCTCTTCTTCTCAGCCATTACTCATCCACTGCAGAATGTAGGCCTCTCTCAGTTTCTTCCACTCGTTTCGATTCTGTGCCCTCCTCATCCAGTTCTTACCGGCTACGGTTTGGATATCATCAGTCCATCTTTTAGGAGGTCGGCCGACTGGACGTTTTGCTAGGCGTGGCCTCCAGCAAAGAAGTCTTTTTGCCCATCT